GGTTAAAAGTTTAGCATCACGAGAGACAGTGTTTTGTGTCTTATAAGCCAGTAGGACTACCGTCGTTTCGGAGAAACGTGCCGCCTCCATCCTAAGATCTCATATACAGCACAAACTCACTAATTCGGTAACAGATAATCCGGATCGAAATATGAAAAATTCTGTTCGCAATTGAGTACATACTTTAAAAAGACGGGTGGGATTTAGGAACAAGAAGGGTTAGAGCATGAGGACTTTCAGACTGTGTTGAGGGCAGCTGAAGGGACTGAAACCATGCAGAAAGTAACCAAGATTGGATTCAGCTGGATGAAGGAGACCCTGGATTGCAGCTTCTGACAGAGGAAGAAATTTCTACAATGATATTATTTTATTTATTTCATCAATACTGCCTATATTATTAAATTTTCCGCTTATTTGTTTTCTAAGTTTTTTTTGTCTTTAAGGGCTACTTTTCTTCATTAATCTGGGCGACCTTTCGGCCCTCAGTTAATCGGGATTAGCGAGGGTTTACTGTATCCAGCTTCTACAGGAAGGGAACGCGAATCAACTCTCTTCCTTACATATCTACCCTGAAGATGGAGGCATTATGTTACTCCGAAATTTTGTTACCCACCTAAGAGACTACATGTTATCATAACCCAGAAGACCACAATTTTAATCTTCACCCCCACTAAACCCCAAATATATATATATATATATAACTTTTTTATGATCTTCAAACATCACGATGGGTCACATTTCATGTGCATTGGGTCTTTGTACTCTACAGATGTGGACAGTATTATCTGCGTTTCGCACGTACATGATGGCTCCGTCATCATGTTCGAAGTGAGTAGGGCGGATGAATATGTGGGTGTATAAAAGGTTTGGTCCAAGAGGTCCACGGTTGCGGGAGGGGGGGGGGCTGGAAAGCTGTCCTGGCCAATAGGGAGAGTAGACACGTAAGACTCGATCACACGGCCTTTTTGAAGGCGTTTCCTTGCCCATTGTTGGGCAGGACCCCTGCCTCCCTCTGGGTGCGCTGGGCCAAAATTTTCATATATACGTGGACACTTGTCCATTCGCATCGACTGTGAAATTTGGGGGGGGGGGTCGTAGGTACTTCCGAAACGTCGGTAATAGTGACCATATCCACACAGCACAAAGACCTAAGCGCAGAATCCACACAATACGTCTGTGTTCGCTGTGGGGAACTGAACCCAGAACTTCAGCATAAATACGCAACGCGGCCATGTTGTGCCCGAAAGTAAATTTAACCTCATCGTCAGCTTGAAGGCTCTAGAACCTTGAGCCCTCAGGATAGGCGGCTGCACAATTCCGTTCTCATCATTTGTCCGCCATTTCTGTGCAGAGGTTTCAAATTTTGTCTGCAGTTTTGAACGAGTGTAAAATATATCTTCCTTTGCCGGAAGAGCATAAATTAAAATATCTGAAAACAAAACGAGTGCCAATACACTATTTTGGGATTTGACGCCCTGTAGTCTGGTAGAAGTTTACTGCCATTTTGAAGAAGCGTAGTGCCTCCATCTTCGAGGTATGCAAGAAACAGGAAACTTGACTCAACTTCGCTACTGGCTCGTTACTTGCTTAGCATGTACGAGGAGAGTAAATAAGTCACATATGGATATAAAACATATGATATTCGAGCCTGGAGAAAAGAAATATTTATTACTCGACATATCCTCCATGAACACTGATGCACATCTCCCAGCGCTTTACCAGTGCGAACAAACCCGCAGCATAGAAGTCTTTTGACTGTTGTCACAGCCACTTCCGCACTGCCGTTTCAGTCTGTTCCTCATCAGCGAAACGTTTGCCACCCAGTTGTGAACCGCTTTACGCGGCAAACACTTCCATAAAGAGGAAACATTTCTTTATGAATATCCTTCGCATTGAGTCATTTTGCCCACACAAAAAAAGCGCACAACAGAGCGCTGCTTTTCGTTATTACACTCGTCAAGCACGGTCGCCATTTTGACTACTGAAATCAGCATCTGAACATGCGCATACATATCTGCTACCTAGACTGTCATGAAGCTGGACTGTGCTGCTACCTAGTGATACACACAGAAAACCTATTTCTTCCATTACAGCTGTTTTACTTCCATTTGTGGACTGTTTACTGACTGTCCCTCGCATATTTGACCCTGAAAACGGAGGCAGCATGTTTCTCCGAAATATCAGTGAATTTTTACCGGATTATACGGTGTTACATCTCAGAGGATAGAACTGTTCATAGTCAAAGCTGTGAGAGTCTGAAATCCAATAGTATAAAACACAGTGCTCAGTAAAGCATTTTGACCTAAAATGGATGACAAAGAAATACCGAGGGAGTCACATCAGCGGCACAGCCACCAAATGGCATCCCTTGCGCTTGTGCTATTCTCACGGCATTCTTATGCTGTCTCCCTGTAATACATAACAGCAGGAAGGGAAAATATACAGATGTTCTCTTTCTTATTTTATTATCAAAATGGCAAATTTCAATTGTCATTAAAACGAATATAACTTGAATATTGTAGCATTCTGTTGCAACTAGACACATTAGAAAAATGCCACATAAGAAAAATCAGTAAAAACAAGCTTAAAATGAACGACACATTACATTAAAAAATAACCTGATATTTGAAAAATTACAAGGACTAAGTAGTAGATAGGCCGGGCCATAGCTCAAGCGGTTAGCCGCTGGCTTCCCACCACGGCGGCCCGGATTCGATCCCGGGTCTGGTCAAGTGGGATTTTTGGTGGACAAAGTGGCGCTGGGGCAGGTTTTCTCCGAGTACTTCGGTTTCCCCTGCCAATCTTCATTCCACCAATTGCTCCACAATCGCCCTCACCTATCATCTGGGGCTGGTAGAATAGGCCAGAAGGGGCCGCAGTACAGGGGACTTAGTCCCACCCCACTAGCAATAAAAAAAAATAGTAGATAGCAGCACACACACCCCATCCGACCTGTACAGGACAGAACAAACTCTACAGAATGTTCATAACATCTACAGACGGCATGACGGAAGGAAACGTACACATCACCACAAAAGTAAATAACCATGCAGCTGCATTAAAAGCAACATCAATATATGCCCGTCACAAATCACTATTACGAGAACAATCACCCGGTGTGCATACATTGAATTATAGCTCGGATCTTTAAATCTAAATCATAAATTTGATTTGGTTCATCCAGGTCCGTCACACAAGCAGCATTATAAAAGGTTAATCAACTCCGTCCAGTGTGACTGATAAAATTTAGAATTTAAATAAAATCGGGACTATTGTTGTATATGTATTATGCCAGAGTTGTATATGGGAATACCTGGTATAAACTGGGTTATATTAATATCTATATAGGGAACACCTAGTACGTAGTGAGCTGTTGTATAAGGTAACTGACTTAATAGGGATTTTTGCAAGGTGAGATTCTTAAAAATGAAGGAAAGTGCACAATTAAAATAACTACTTTAAGTACATGAAATGAGGAAGAGACTATAATATGACGAAATATTAAAAGATTGTAACTCGACCTCTCACTCGTATTATCATACCAAAACGTACTTGTTTTCAACTAGAAGACAGTGACAATCGTGCACTCTCCTGCCTCATAAATTTTGTCAAGTTCAATCAAAGTCCAGGAGGGACGCACATACTGTAAGCAAGAGAATGTTCTGGAAGTTTTAGGCTGATGCAATGTATGACGTTATTAGAGACTTAAGGAGGAAGTAATATATCCCCCCCCCCCGCTTGGGCGTTACAAGACGCTGTTTCGATCACGACAGTCTACGATCCGTGAGGACGGATTGTCTGATAGAGGAAGTCGGTGGCTGCCCAGGCGTAGGCAGTGTGCAAAACTGTTGTCTTAACTGTACATTTCCCTGTAAGCATTGCATTTTAATAGTTGTACATTAAACCACCTAGCTCTACCTCTGCTGTTACTTGAAGCCACCCCGTATTGACTCCCGAGGGAACCGCTCGCCCTTGCTAACCTCTCTTGCTACTGGGATACGACATCGATTCCAGGTGCCGGATACAACACTGTGGAAATACTGTATTATACCCATAATATAGGCCGCGCCATAGTTCAAGCGGTTAGTCGCTGGCTTCTCACTGCGGGGGCCCGGGTTCGATCCCGGGTCTGGTCAAGTGGGATTTGTGGCGGACAAAGTGACGCTGGGGCAGGTTATCTCCGAGTACTTCGGTTCCCCCAGCAAATTTTCATTCCACCAAATTCTCCATCATCGTAATCACCCGGGGCAGGCTACAATAGGCCAATCAGTGGCCGCTGTGCCGAGTGGACCCAGCTGGACTCCACCCCCACTAGCGAATTAAAAATTAATTACCCATAATATATTTGCAGAGTCCTATTCGTCAGACAACGGAACCATGGCGCGGCAGACACTCATCTTCCTTTAGAGAGAGGCAGTATGAAGGTTAGGTTAGCGTGGCCCGAACAAGTGGACACACTAAGAGTCCTATTCGTCAGACAACGGAACCACGGCGCGGCAGACACTCATCTTCCTTTAGAGAGAGGCAGTATGAAGGTTAGGTTAGCGCGGCCCGAACAAGTGGACACACTAAGAGTCCTATTCGTCAGACAGCGGAACCACGGCGCGGCAGAGACTCATCTTCCCTTAAAGAGAGGCAGTATGAAGGACACGAACCAAATTGGGTCTAGAATTTAACAGAAATTTTAGACCAAACTTGTAAATACACTAATTATAATAATTTATAAATATTTTAATGTGTTCATGCACATCGCTGTATATGTTAAAGGGTCAGATTTTATATTCATGGCATTGTGATGATACTGTATGTAAGTATTGATACTGACCGAACACATTGTAATAGCAGTTTCCGCCTGTATTGATGTGTCCTTCTGAAGATGGTCGCTCGGACCGAAACATGTTAAGGATGAAAGATCAAGAAGGAGAGAGACAGAAGTCACACCGGACGGAGTTGATTAACCTTGTATAAATAATCATAAAATTAGGAAAACATGCCACGAGTTACGACCAAGAATGCAGCAATTTCTGTAATATGTTTATTGCATCTCCTGATGGCCAAATAGGCTAAAACATGTACAAGAGTCGCGTTATATAACAACTTGACAAAATTGAGCATTTAGAAAAAAAAAAAGATTGAATTTAGTGTGAGTTCCTCACTAGGCGACAGTGAATACATTCAAAACAGATGCTATTCTAGGGTTTCTTGCATTAACGTTATACTTCCTCACTACGTGGCTCGTCTGTCTGCATCTCAGTTCTCCTGTCGTCATCGCTTTCCTCAAAGCCCAGTTCCTCCTGGGTCTGCACGCAACCTGCAACAAAAAGAATGAACAGCTTAAGTTTGAAGTGCGGGTTGCGTCCGGAACAGTCGCAGTATAACTGTTCCACGTCTCCTTTAATTGACAGGCCTCGGACGCGTGTCCTTACGTTTCTCTGTGGGCTCCCAGCCGATGTCTTCTCCAGACTCTCTGTTGTCCCTCTCCAGCCAGTCCGCGAGGGGACTGAAGTAGTCTAGCAGTCCCGTGGCATCCATGTCGCGCTGTCCTGTCAGCACTTCCATCGCGTCAGGCCAAGGCCTCGAGGATCCCATCTGCAGCATCTTCCTGTAATGTTACGTCATAAGGTACTGTACATTCGCGTCAGCTTGTAGCCTGTCAGGTGATCGCAAACGTTTCGCACATACATGCTGTCTCCAACTTCACGACGGAACCAAATGAGGTGACATAGGGGTGACGCTGTGGTTTATTATTTGTTCGGTTCGAAACACCGGTTATCCTGATCTGAGTGTTCTCGTGATTTTCCTGTGCGCCTGCAGGGAAATACCGGTAATACCTCGGCTACACCTTGACCGCTTTCTTCTAAAACCTTAGAAATTTGTCATTAATCTACCATCTCTCTATTCTGCGCTATTTAGTGTAGTTACTAACAGCGTCCTGAGATAAACCACAAAAAAATTCACAGCAATAATTCTTATCCTGACAATGGAAGCAGCATATTCCTCCGAAACCTTGGTAACAAGACTATACCGTCAACAGTTGGAAAAGACCACAATAGTACATGAACTCTCATTGGCATTAACAAACTTTCTAGCGTTGTTGATTGAGGCACTATGCCACTAGCCGGAAGGTCACGGTTTCGATTATCTATGAGGTCATTGGATTTTTCAATTGATCTAATCCTTCCAGCCGTGCTATGACCATGGGGTCGACAAAGTTAAGTACCAGGAATTTTCCTAGGGGTAAAAGGCGGCGGACCAGCGCGTAAAGCTGACATCCTTACCGCAATCTGCGAGCCAATTGTCTAAAAAGTGTGGGAGCCTCGAAGTCTTACAACCCTATTGGCCTCCAAGGCCTGTTACACGATAGCTTTACTTAACCTTACCGCTGCATGCGAGCCGATTGTCTAGAAAACATGGGAGCCTCAACGTCTCACTCCCCTGTTGGACTCAACGACCTGTTACAGGGATAGCTCTACCTTTATGAAACTGTCAAGCATCAGAGATTATTATTATTATTATTAGAGGGGGTGGGTTTCCCCATGAACTTAGACCAGTTATTGGTCCATTGTGCGTCCTCCTTTAATTTCTACTGTCGCCATACCCTGCCGGTACTGGTGCGTGCTATCAGCCCCGTTCAGCCAACGAGGTCGGCCCTCGGTACCTGATATTTCCCCTATCTACCAGAGGCATTGGAAACTACTTGGGCGGGAAATATGTTGCCTAATTTTGCTCAGAGGTCTCCTAGAGACATGAGGATTTTTTACGTTCCGTAAATCTACGACACGGCTTGAAGTCCCTCTCGGAGGACTTGTTCCCTGAATTTTCCCGCCCTTAAAAAAATTCCACGACCTCCGCCGGGTTTGGACCCGCGTACCTTGAGTCATGAGGTGGGAACGTTACCCCTAGACTATGGAGGCCGCTAAGAATCAGAGATGCTTAGGAAAGCAAAACGGCGAATGTGCCGTTGGAACAATGTATACTGACACATGGGCGCTTCCCTCATGCGTCACACCGCTGTCTTATCAGCCTTTAGTTCGCTTTCTCTCAAATACGGAAGTGGAGACAGCAATTGATCCCTCCATGGCGTCCGTGTTATGCTACATTGCAACTGTTGGAATATGAGAGTGGAGGTCAAGTGAGGATTTCGGTGACTGTACATTACAAGCTGCTTAATGCCCTCGGCATATCGAGCACTGGACTCGTAATTTCGAACCTCACTCAGGGAATCGTTGTTTATCCACGTTCGTTCTCTTTTGTTCCATGTAGGTAGCGGGCTTGCGACTGACTGATTCCCCATTCAGGGCATCGTACCAGAAGTCCATAAAATTAATACTTTCAGAAAATAATTCTGAATTGTAACAGGCCATAGGTTGTAATCGATAGAAGCTACGATATACAATACCCCAGAAGGTTTCCGGCCTCGGTGCTTCGGTAGATGTCGCACTCATGGAGAGGTTTCTTCGGGTCGTTGGGGTCAAATTGTCCCGCCTTCTCGCACAGAGCCCTGTGGAACTGGAACTGTATCACGAAGCTCACGAAGTACCTGCAATCATGGTCCTGTGGATTCAATTGCTTAACCACGACTTAGTCATTTGCTTGAACATATCACAAATCCCCTTGTGTCTTTGTAAACATCGAAGGGAATGTGACTTACAGAGATTAGTCCACAAGTTCAGGAATCATAAGTTATTCGACGTGGATTTTACACCATATTCCATAGACTAAACAAATGAATAACTTTAAAAAACTCCGTGGCTTTTAGTCCGCAAGTGAACTATATCGATCGAGCGAATGCCGCTTGTCTGCGAAGTTAGTGCCAACTTTAGCGGATAGAGGGTGAAGAACCTTTGCATAAAAGATGGGAAACTTCTTGACTAGTTGGGCTACCATCAGCTTCGCCCTGGACTCCACTATGGAATATTCATTTGATTAGCTGAGTTACTGTCAGCTTCTTGGGAAGGACTATGCTTCTTTAGCAAGAATAGTCAAGTATTATTTACCTTATGTACGGGACGCTAGCAATGATGTGGTACTTTGCTCCGGGGTCAAAATCTTCTTCTGTCCTATCCACAGGAGGCTCAATTCCTTGATATTTCTCTCTGGAAGAAGAAAGAAACAATAAGACCTATGCGCTGACGTTGAGGAACCCAGAATCTCCGAAATGCACATAAGTCCCAGGTAAGGTAAGTTATACTTGTTCTTAATTATTTAATTAAGCAATAGACCATGAAGAAACATGGGGGGAGTGGAGGTATAGCTCCACCATTTTCGACCTCGGCAGTAGATAGAGGTGAATGGTCAGCTTCACGACTTGGCCGCTTTACCCCCGCCGAAATCGCCCCCTGTACCCATTGGATAGGATTCTGGGTGGGCCCCAGAGTCGGGCTGGATTCTGTGCAGAAGAGAAAGATCTCCTCGCAAGGAATCGAACCCGGGCCGTTCAGCCTGTAACCCGCCGCTGTGGCGGACTGAGCTACCCCTCTGACTAAATATCGTTTTTACAATGGCTCTTCCAAACCATTCAAGGTCCAAGCCTCTTATTCAGTTCCGTAATCATTTTTCTTCACATACGGCATAACACACACAGAATAAACACACACAAACATCCGTGCCTTGAGTGGGATTCGAACCCACAATCCCAGCATCCGAGCGAGCGAAGACAGTTCATGCTTTAAACCGTGCGGCCACTGTGACCGGCAACTAAATAAACTGGAATGGATATATGTATGTACAGTGCGTTCAGTTAAAGAGGAAATTTCGCAACACCGCTGACCGGGCCCAAGATTCCTCACAGATTGCTGTTGTTAACTGCTGATAGCAGAATGGGTCATTTTCTCTGATAAACGCATGCAGTTACAGTTACAACAGCCATCTATGAGGAATATTGGGCCCGATCAGCGGTGTTGCGAAGTTTCCTCCTTGATTGGATGCTCTGTATAATATATAGGCACATAAATGGATAGATACGAAAAGACAGAGAGGGAGCAGATCACCTCTCATTACGCGCCGTCAGTTTCAGAGTTAAATCGTGCTTTGGAACATACCTGAGTCTCCACCATTCACAGTTGTAGTTTTCGCTTGTAATCTTGCCCTTGAAGACGTCCCATCTCCACAAGTCGGTCAGATAAGCATACGGGAGGAACACGATTTTCTGCAGTCCCTGTAGGTATAGATAGTTGATGGTTGCCTCGTAGTCTTCACCTGCCGACGCGTCGTCTTCCAACAGACCGATCTCTCGCAGGTGTTTGGGCGTCGAGACGGATAGAGACATTACGTCCCCAACTGCCTCGTGAAAGCCTGCAGAAAGATTTCTACAGCTAGAAAACTCCCTGATCCAACACTTACTTGCTTACACGTTATAACGAACAGATTGTTATAATTATTTCGCAGCCCTTTAGAGCGCTACAGTTGCAGACTATACACATATTCTCATTTTTAACGAAGTTAAAATTAGAGGGAAGTCATGTATGGTCATGGCTCCTGCCGGGCACGGAATCAAGAATGACTGTGCTGTTGAAGGCCAGCAGTAATTTACTCAAAATCGTAATAATTTTTAAAATAAATGCCTTGGAAAGTAAATTAATATATATATATTTTTTTTCATTGGCGCTACAACACTCATTTGGGCCTAGGCCTACTTCCATGAAACTCTCCGTTCACTTCGGTTTCACTAGATCTTAGATATACGGTAGGACTCCTTGGGCGGGTGATCAGCTCGTCGCAAGGCCTCTACCTGTACACAAACACAGAAAAACGGACACAAAAATCCATGCCCTGAGTTGGATTCGAACCCACGATCCCGGCTTCCGAGCGAGCGAAGACAGTGCATGCCAAATTAATATATAACAGAGTAAAATGATATGGACACCTGATAAGAATGAACGAAAAGGAAACACCAAGATGAAGGTTATAAACGCGAAACTAAAAGTAAAACTCCCAACAGGAAGACTCAGTTCTAGATCGCAACGGCAGCTTGGGAAAGTTGGCACGCAGAAGGAAGGTAAGACATGAGAGGAGACTGAGGAGATGGGCTTTGGCAGGACAGTAGTGCATGTGGAGGGTTTGTTGCTAGGCGACCCTCATAAAGTGGAAACGTGGGGGCGTCACGGATACTAACGAGGCGCGTAGTACGCTACGTGGAAGGGAGCAGCTCCGTGGCTCTTGAGCATGACCCATGACCGTGAGCATTATCACATCTTATTTGTAGTGTAGTTGTAAGCGTAGTGGAAGACAGGCGATTGTAACGAAAATTGGAAAATAACTGTATAGAATGAATGTAGTGAAACAGATTACCAAACCTAACTCTGTATTGTGAACACAATGGGGAAAACAAATAGAGGTAGACCGAGAAAGAGTTGGAGATACATTTTTTTATATGTTGATGGAACAAACATCACAATCCAAACGAAAACTCCATAATTTTATACACGAAATTACCAGTGGCGTGCTTTGCAGTTTATTAAGCTTATCTGTGGCCGATATGTGAAAGTACGTATGCAGTCCTAGTTAAACCGGGTAGGTACGGCAGACAATTGGAGTTGGCTTCCCACGCTTAAGTGAAATCCCATATTGAATTTTTAAGCAGTCTGTTCAGCAGTTCAGTCGCTGACACTACGTCACATGGATGTCTAGACATGACCTTCATGACCAGCACACTGAATATCCTGCCTGAGGATTCCGTGCTCTTCCTCTTCAGGAAAACAACGGAATATCACGGGCTCTTGCTTTCAAATCCTTTCAAATTCATCTGTCATCTTACAAGGCTTCATACTTGTGGGGTTTCTAATGTTCTGTCTTAGCTCTTGCAGATGGTCTGTGCTGTGCTTGGCTTGTATACCCCATCTGGTATTGGTACAGTTGGGTATAACCGGGTCACTCTGTCCCTTGGAGATATAAATAAGGGGACATAGCCCTCCAGGTTTGGGGATCTCGAATCTGAGACAGTAAAATGTGGCCACGAGTCCCAGGGGCTCGAACCGGAGAACGACTGCACTGTCGAGAACCTGCAGCAACGACATTGTGAACGACAAATCCATCAGGATTATAACCTCGTTAAAAAAGAAAATGCTGGTCGTGAGTCTCAAGGGGCTTGTCGCCAAGACGGACTGATTGGCAGTAAAGTAACTCTGGTTCTGGCTCTAGCTCTGGTACAGGTGTCCGGCGATAGGAACGAGCTCTGTCGATTGGGTCCAACTGAGTTAAGTTTTACCTGAAGACGGAGACAATCCAGTCCCCGAAACGTTGCGTTTTTAAATAAGAACAGGACTATTGATAATGTCCAGAAACATAATATTTGTGTCATTCTACATTTCGACGCTATATGGTCTGCCTACTGACAGTACCTGGATTGGCGCCCCTCTTGTACACGCGTGGCTGGTGCCTATATTGAAGGTAGTACTGCACGTGGCCCATTTCATGGTGAGCCGTGAAGAGGTCGTCCATGTCGACTCTCGTGCATTGTTTTATCCTGTGAAAAAGTACGAAATATTTGTGATTTATACCTGGATTTGCTCCCTCCTTGTAGACTAGAGGCCGTTCTCTGTACTGGATGAAGTACTGCACGTGGCCCATCTCATGGTGAGCCGTGAACAGGTGGCTCATATCGGTCCTAGTGCACTGTTTGATCCTGCGCAGTAACGTGTCAGTACGTGAGAATTGAGGTTATCAAAGCGGACAGGTATAATAAGGGATTATGAAACCGTGCTGTGCTAGACAGACACCAGGAATCTCGGAGAAATTTGCCACCTCTATCTTCAGGGTATATCTGTGAAGATGGGGGTTGAAAAGCTCCTCGGAAACTTGGTAACTGCCTGCAAGAAACTACACGGCGTCATGTCCCAAAAGACCATTGTCTGAACGAGTGCTTCAGAACGGCTCTCCCCATTAAGCCTTGACATTTTTCGATATTTTGTTTCTCGATAGGTGTCAAGGTATACAGATTTTCTTCCTCTATTTTTCTCGTGTAATGCCTGAGGAAACTAGGAATCGCTCATCGATTCTCGGCATTGGCGAGATTATTTTTCTGTTTTCCATAGCTTCCAGACCACATCTGGGGCCCACCTAACCTCCTCTCCAACGGATACCGGTGACTCCCTTGAAGTAAAGAGGCCGGGCCGTGAAGCTGATAGTTTAAGTTATCTGAGCCAAGATTAAGAATATATGGAGATATACCTCCAATATTTCATATATTTTAATTAAGTATAGAGACGACTTCGCCTTCAATTCATCAACGACTCTACAGTCCTCTGTTGGACCTTGATCGCTTTTTCAATTTCTTACTCCTATACACAGTCGGTTAGACTCTGTGGACGGGGGATCAGTCCGTCGCAAGGCCTGTACCTGCATACAGGACAGAACAAAAACAGAATAAACGCACATAGACATCCATGGGTCAAGTGGGATTCGAACCCACGACACCGGTATTCGAGTGGACGAAGACAGTTCATGCCTTAGACCGCGGAGTCACCCTGATCAGCTGACTTCACCTTGACCTCAGATAATTCGTGAATATTTTGTTAATTTTCTTATGCATTTACTTATACACTTTGAATTGTCTGTCTAAAGAGTCACTTGATAACGTTACAGTTATATTGTTATAGGCATAGCTAATGAACTGATTGGTCTGGTATGTTGAGTTTATGGTCCATTTATTGGCAGTCAGTAACTCTGAGTATGTAACTTGGAATGAATGTATGATAACGAATTGCTAAGGGCGTGGAAGAAACCGATCGTGTCCTGGGATGTACCTGGAGTGGCTGAGGTAAATCAAACCTCAGACAATATTGTTGGGTGCGACAGCCAGGATTCAAAACAAACAACTACAGTTTTGCCGCTAAGCCAACCACCTAGTTCATGCTCATGTACCTGAAGTCCTTGCCGTCGTAGAAGTCCCAGGCGGAGGCGTGACAGATGAGTTCTCTGCCCTCTGGCTTCTGCAGGATGGAGCGCTCCCAGAAGCTCTGTGGCATCGCGCTCAGGTTCAGTGACGTGAAGAATTCCTCGGCCAGTCTGAACATTTTGACCGGGGTGTATCCCTGCGCAAGTTCAAGTACAGCGGGTGTTAGCTCGCGAACAGGCCACCAGATGATCAGTAACTCTTGCTAGGCTCAGATGCAACTGTTCATGCAGCAGGTGTTAGTTCGCGAACCAGCCACCAGATGGTAAGTTTTGCTAGGCTCAGATGCAGCGGATGCAACTCTCGCTCTTTTTTTATTACCATAAGGTAAGCCTATGCATGGGTGCCCTCCAGGTGTCTTCCGGCATGAGGGGAAGTAAAGGTAAAGCTATCTCTGTAACAGGCCTTGGAGGCCCATAGGATTGTGAGATGTCGAGGCTCTCACATTTTCTAGACAGGCGGCTCACATATGGCGGTGAGATTAAGTAGAGCTATCCCTGTAACAGGCCGTGGTGGAAGCCCATAGGGTTGTGAGACGTCGAGGATCCCACATTTTCTAGACAATCGGCTCACAGATGGCGGTGAGGTTAAGTAAAGCTATCCCTGCAACAGGCCGTGGAGGCCCATAGGGTTGTGAGATGTTGATGGTCCCACATTATCAGAGTGTTGGCTCACAGATGGCGGTAAGGTTGTCAGCTTTACGCGCCAGCCGCCCTTTACCCCCCAGGGAGATTCCTGGCACTCATTTCTGTTAGAAGCTGAGTCGACCCCAGGGCCATAGTGCGGCTGGAAGGATTAGGTCAATTGAAAAAATCCACCTCATGGGGACTCGAGCCCGCGACATTCCGGGTTGTAGCATAGTGTCTCAACCAACTGCGCTACCGCGTGCTCCCTGAATAAGGGAAGAGCGCCGAAAAAATTCGGAACAAGCAATTAAACAATTTAAGGTCACTTTTTATAGATTAAGGAACTGAAGTGAAACGAAGCGTTTCACGGATGCCCTATGCTCCAGTGGAAGTAACAGGAATATAAAAAAGGCCGCTTTTAATGATCCCGCTGGGGCATTTTATTGCTTGTGGGGTGGGACTAAGTCCCTTGTACTGCGGCCACTTCTGGCCTATTGTACCAGCCCCAGATGATAGGCGAGGGTGATTGTGGAGCAATTGGTGGAATGAAGATTGGCAGGGGAAACCGAAGTACTCGGAGAAAACCTGCCCCAGCGCCACTTCGTCCACCACAAATCCCACTAGACCAGACCCGGAATCGAACCCGGGCCGCCGCGGTGGGAAGCCAGCGACTAACCTCTTGAGCTATGGCGCGGCCGTACTTTATGATATAATTATTTCGTATGTTTCTTTTTTCAGTTATTTATTTACTTCCAAAATTTCAAGGGGGAGAGGACAGATTCATGGCTTGCCCTCTCTCTGCCAACACCAGTGGACCTCCCCAATATTATGTAGCCCTTTACTTTCCGTACCACCAAATGCTACAGCTAACTAACATGACTTGAGAGCCCAGCGGAATTTCAACGGAAAATATTCTTACAGCTCCAGTCTCTAGCTACGGTATCCAGAATGGCCGTTCTATTAAAAGTATACTCTTCTTGGACATTACGCCATGCACTCTGGTAAATTTTACGGACGTTTCGAAGGAGAAGAACATTCCAAGCAAGCAGGACGACCGTCTATCCCGAACATGGAAGTAGTATATGCATCCGAAATTTTGGTAAACATTTATAAGACTACACGGCGTCACATCCCAGTGACCGTTGTGAGAATCTCAAATCTCTTATCTGTTCCAATGATTCTCACGCTTATCAAGGGCCGCCCTTTACCCCCAAGAATATTCCTGGTACTCATTTCTGTTAGATGCTGAGTCGACCCCAGGGCCATAGTGCGGCTGGAAGGATTAGGTCATTTGAAAAATTCAGTGGCCTTATCGGGAATCGAACCGTGACCTTAAGGTTTGTAGCATAGTGCCTCAACTAAGCTATCGAGTGCCCCCATCTTTTAACGTAAAGTTTTTATGTCTGAGGAACATTTTGTGAAGTAATTAATGTCTGAGTATATTCTCTAGTGGATTTTTGACAGACAACCGCAAAGCTGGAAGAGAGGAGATATGTTGAGACCACAGAAAGAGGTCCCACGGATCGCCCCCCACCCCTGCAAATGTAGCACTCCCTCCACCTTTGGGGACACTGGTGATAAGTGTTTTTGGCTGGCTTAGGATAATAGGGGTCGAACGGGTATAAAGCAGTAGGCAAAATAAGTTATATAAGATTATTATGTGTCTGGAGTATATTTGACATATACGACGTTTTGGAAGCTGAATGTGTGTCAATCATCAGGTACAACGAGAAAAGGAGCTTGAACAGGCGGATCCAGTTGGAAATATGTGACAGTATCGAAACCAGTCACTGGCATCAGAGCCTGCAGAGTTGGGGATGAGGATGTGTGACTCACGCGCGATATCCATCTGAATTGTTTCCGGTGACTCAGTAGGACATACAGGGAGTGAAGTAGGATTTATGAAATTCAAATATCAGCCAATCGTGTAGAGGAAACTACACTCACTTCATAGTGAAATAGCTGACGCCATATAGAGGCAACTAACGTGTTTTACCTGCTTTTTCATCTGAGGAGTGACATCTACAGCTTCCTTGTCAGGGTAGGGTGTGGAGATGTCCAGAATGTTGTTCCAAGTCTGAGACCACATGTTACCTGAGGCGTAAACATAAGGACAACGTTAATCGGGCGCAGTGTCAGTGAGCTTAAGCTTAGGTGGTGTAACATGGACTGGACACGGAGCAGAGATGCTCCGGCTACTGACACAACAGCTGTGCGCATGCTCGTGCACATCACAATGAAACTGAGTAAGCCAGGCGTGAAGTTTCTTACCGAGAAGATGTGCCGGTATGGGCCCACGGGCCGTGACGAGTTTCTCGCCGTAAGTTTCCCTCAGTTTCCTCCTGACGTAAGCGTGTAGCTGCAGGTATAGAGGCCGCACCTGGTCCCACAGGCGTGCTACTTGGTCCCGGAAGTCAGGGGACTCGTAGTCCTTCAGCCAGTATTCGGCGTTGTCTGTGAAGTCTGCAACACAGTTCCGGTTTATGTGCTTCAAGGTCAGGCTGTAGGCCCAATGTTAGCGATGTAACTTCCTTTCTGAGGTGACAATAAGATGCTGAGGATGATTTACGAGGGCAAATGAACAGGGAGTATGGTTTCTCTAGGATTGAGAAGCTCAAGGCGATATAACGTAGGGTGCCCATATGTCCAATTTTGCCCTGCACAGTCCTGGTAGTTGGTTGAGGAACTGTGCTTCAAACCGGAAGGTCACGGGTTCGAGTCCCTAGGAGGTCGTTGGATTTTTCAATTGACCTAATCCTTTCATCTGCACTATGGCCCTGGGGTCGACTCTGCCTCTAACAGAAATGAGTACCAGGAATCTTCCTTGGGGGGGGGAGTAAAGGGCGGCCACCGCGTAAGCCTGACAACCTTACTGTCATCTGTGAACCGATTGTCTAGACATGCGTTTATCAACGTGTGGTCCGCGATGATGGGACAGGTGGTCCGCAAACAGATTTAAATGAAATTAAATTAAAAATTATCCAAACAACACAAATTAAAAGTAAATAAGCAAGTAAAAACTGTTGAAATAAAATGGATATTGAAAAAAAAAACAAGCTTTCTAAATGCCATCAACATTTCAATGACCAGAGAAGAATCCGGGTTTTCCAGGGTATGAGGGTGTGACTGCATTGTCACTAGCTTCAGAGGAGGGACCGCGCCGATAATTGGTAGCTGCAGAAAGACGGATAATAAAAGAGAGTTGCAGTGAACAACATTCAGTGTTTATTGCTTCCGCTCTGCCTTGCTGTTTTGTTAGTTTTGAAGGAAACATGTGCTATCCACATTTCAACCAATGGCTCGTTGTTTATTGTTATTTACGTATTACTGAAAGTTTTCCTTTTTCAGCGAACGCTCAGTACACGTATATCTTCATAAGCGCTAAGAGATAGTTGGACAAAGTGTGTCGTGAGTTAACTCCAGTTTTTATATATTTTTCGGAATCATTTTTAAAAAATGGAAAAGTGGCTTAGAACAGGGACTTTGAAAAGAAAAGCAAACGAAACAGATGATGCTAACCCTAACTGCGAAACACGTTTTGTAACGGCGAGTGAATATGGTACTATTAAAGTCGAAGAAGCGAGCAGTTCAAAACAAAAATACAGTAGGAAATATGACAATTCGTATTTAGAATTCGGGTTTGCTTGGTATGGCGATGAAAGTGAACAGAGACCTCAATGTGTTTTGTGTTATGAAGTGTTACCGACCGAGCGCATGAAGCCTGCGAAACTCCGACGACACTTACAAACTCAACATTGTGATATGAAAAGTAAGCCAATTGAATTTTTTTCAGAGACTCTTATGGACATTAAATCGTGGACAAAATATAGTTTCGGTCATGGGTTCGCTTAATAACAAGGCACTGGAAGCATTCTACCTCTTAAGTTTGCGCATAGCCGAAACAGGGAAACCTCATTCTATCGGCGAAAATTTACTTCTTCCGGCTGCAAAAGATGTTCGGCAACAAGTTACTAAAAGATGCTGATTTCATTCCTATTTCAAACGACACTGTCGGTCGCAGAATTAACGATATGGCAGGAGACGTAGAATCTCAGTTAATCGAATGAGCCCGTATTATGCGTTACAAATAGACGAGAATACTGATGTTGCAAATGATGCGCAGTTAACAAGCTACGCAAGTTATGCGCATGATAACAACATTCATGACGATATTCTGTTTTGTAGAACTTTGTCAACCCGAACAACTGGAGAAGAAATATTTCACTCTCTCAATAATTTCATAAGAGACAAAGGGAACCAGTGGGAAAAATGTGCGGTCTTCTGTTCGGATGGAGCTCGCGCCCTTACAGGCAGGCACAGTGGGGTTGTTGTACCCTTACAGCAGGTATAGTGGGGTTGTTTCTGGGAAACATGTGTGGGCTTCTGTTCGGATGGAGCTCGTGCCCTTACAGGCAGGCATGGCGGGGTTGTTTCTGGAAAAAATTTGTGGGCTTCTGTTCGGATGGAGCTCGTGCCCTTACAGGCAGGCATGGCGGGGTTGTTTCTGGAAAAAATTTGTGGGCTTCTGTTCGGATGGAGCTCGTGCCCTTACAGGCAGGCATGGCGGGGTTGTTTCTGGAAAAAATTTGTGGGCTTCTGTTCGGATGGAGCTCGTGCCCTTACAGGCAGGCATGGCGGGGTTGTTTCTGGAAAAAATTTGTGGGCTTCTGTTCGGATGGAGCTCGTGCCCTTACAGGCAGGCATGGCGGGGTTGTTTCTGGAAAAAATTTGTGGGCTTCTGTTCGGATGGAGCTCGTGCCCTTACAGGCAGGCATGGCGGGGTTGTTTCTGGAAAAAATTTGTGGGCTTCTGTTCGGATGGAGCTCGTGCCCTTACAGGCAGGCATGGCGGGGTTGTTTCTGGAAAAAATTTGTGGGCTTCTGTTCGGATGGAGCTCGTGCCCTTACAGGCAGGCATGGCGGGGTTGTTTCTGGAAAAAATTTGTGGGCTTCTGTTCGGATGGAGCTCGTGCCCTTACAGGCAGGCATGGCGGGGTTGTTTCTGGAAAAAATTTGTGGGCTTCTGTTCGGATGGAGCTCGTGCCCTTACAGGCAGGCATGGCGGGGTTGTTTCTGGAAAAAATTTGTGGGCTTCTGTTCGGATGGAGCTCGTGCCCTTACAGGCAGGCATGGCGGGGTTGTTTCTGGAAAAAATTTGTGGGCTTCTGTTCGGATGGAGCTCGTGCCCTTACAGGCAGGCATGGCGGGGTTGTTTCTGGAAAAAATTTGTGGGCTTCTGTTCGGATGGAGCTCGTGCCCTTACAGGCAGGCATGGCGGGGTTGTTTCTGGAAAAAATTTGTGGGCTTCTGTTCGGATGGAGCTCGTGCCCTTACAGGCAGGCATGGCGGGGTTGTTTCTGGAAAAAATTTGTGGGCTTCTGTTCGGATGGAGCTCGTGCCCTTACAGGCAGGCATGGCGGGGTTGTTTCTGGAAAAAATTTGTGGGCTTCTGTTCGGATGGAGCTCGTGCCCTTACAGGCAGGCATGGCGGGGTTGTTTCTGGAAAAAATTTGTGGGCTTCTGTTCGGATGGAGCTCGTGCCCTTACAGGCAGGCATGGCGGGGTTGTTTCTGGAAAAAATTTGTGGGCTTCTGTTCGGATGGAGCTCGTGCCCTTACAGGCAGGCATGGCGGGGTTGTTTCTGGAAAAAATTTGTGGGCTTCTGTTCGGATGGAGCTCGTGCCCTTACAGGCAGGCATGGCGGGGTTGTTTCTGGAAAAAATTTGTGGGCTTCTGTTCGGATGGAGCTCGTGCCCTTACAGGCAGGCATGGCGGGGTTGTTTCTGGAAAAAATTTGTGGGCTTCTGTTCGGATGGAGCTCGTGCCCTTACAGGCAGGCATGGCGGGGTTGTTTCTGGAAAAAATTTGTGGGCTTCTGTTCGGATGGAGCTCGTGCCCTTACAGGCAGGCATGGCGGGGTTGTTTCTGGAAAAAATTTGTGGGCTTCTGTTCGGATGGAGCTCGTGCCCTTACAGGCAGGCATGGCGGGGTTGTTTCTGGAAAAAATTTGTGGGCTTCTGTTCGGATGGAGCTCGTGCCCTTACAGGCAGGCATGGCGGGGTTGTTTCTGGAAAAAATTTGTGGGCTTCTGTTCGGATGGAGCTCGTGCCCTTACAGGCAGGCATGGCGGGGTTGTTTCTGGAAAAAATTTGTGGGCTTCTGTTCGGATGGAGCTCGTGCCCTTACAGGCAGGCATGGCGGGGTTGTTTCTGGAAAAAATTTGTGGGCTTCTGTTCGGATGGAGCTCGTGCCCTTACAGGCAGGCATGGCGGGGTTGTTTCTGGAAAAAATTTGTGGGCTTCTGTTCGGATGGAGCTCGTGCCCTTACAGGCAGGCATGGCGGGGTTGTTTCTGGAAAAAATTTGTGGGCTTCTGTTCGGATGGAGCTCGTGCCCTTACAGGCAGGCATGGCGGGGTTGTTTCTGGAAAAAATTTGTGGGCTTCTGTTCGGATGGAGCTCGTGCCCTTACAGGCAGGCATGGCGGGGTTGTTTCTGGAAAAAATTTGTGGGCTTCTGTTCGGATGGAGCTCGTGCCCTTACAGGCAGGCATGGCGGGGTTGTTTCTGGAAAAAATTTGTGGGCTTCTGTTCGGATGGAGCTCGTGCCCTTACAGGCAGGCATGGCGGGGTTGTTTCTGGAAAAAATTTGTGGGCTTCTGTTCGGATGGAGCTCGTGCCCTTACAGGCAGGCATGGCGGGGTTGTTTCTGGAAAAAATTTGTGGGCTTCTGTTCGGATGGAGCTCGTGCCCTTACAGGCAGGCATGGCGGGGTTGTTTCTGGAAAAAATTTGTGGGCTTCTGTTCGGATGGAGCTCGTGCCCTTACAGGCAGGCATGGCGGGGTTGTTTCTGGAAAAAATTTGTGGGCTTCTGTTCGGATGGAGCTCGTGCCCTTACAGGCAGGCATGGCGGGGTTGTTTCTGGAAAAAATTTGTGGGCTTCTGTTCGGATGGAGCTCGTGCCCTTACAGGCAGGCATGGCGGGGTTGTTTCTGGAAAAAATTTGTGGGCTTCTGTTCGGATGGAGCTCGTGCCCTTACAGGCAGGCACATTGGGGTTGTTTCTGGGAAAAATTTGTGGGCTTCTGTTCGGATGGAGCTCGCGCCCTTACAGCAGGTATAGTGGGGTTGTTTCCGAGGTTAAGGCAGTAGCTCCGAACATGAATTGGGTACATTGTTTCATACATAGGGAAGCGTTGGCCTCCAAAGAAATGCCACCAGGATTTAGAACTGTGCTAGACAGCGGTGTAAAGCTGATTAGTTTTATTAGGGCTCGACCGTTAAGTAACAGGCTATTTACGTATTCTGCATTGAAATGGGCGGAGACATTGCACAACTTTTGCTTCATTCTGAAATTCGCTGGCTTTCTAGGGGCAAAGTACTAACAAGGTTATTTCAATTAAGGCACGAAGTTTTATTGTTTGTAAAGGAACGCAGTACTGATTTTGCCTCACTCCTTATTGACGGAGCATGGTTATCAGCACTGTCCTATCCTTCAGACATTTTTCCTAAATTAAATGAACCAAATTTCTCCCTTCAGGGAAATTCTTTAACTGTTCTTGATGCTTTCGACAAAGTAAAGGCATTCGAAAAAAACTGGTGTTATGGATTAGTTATGCAAAAGACAGACAATTTGCACCTTTTCCAACATTGGAATCCTTTTTAGTGGAAAATGATATTTCTGTTGATTCTGAGTTTCTGAAAAGGGTTTGGGACCACCTCAAAACCGTGAAACAGATAGTTGAAACATATTTTCCGAATAAATTTTGTGAGAAATTTCTGTGGGTTCGCAATCCATTTCAGGCTTACAATCACGAGAACGACCTTTCGTTATCGAAAAAAGAACAGTCAGTTGAGCTTTCAAGTGACGGTTGGCTTAAAATGCAATTCCGTGATCTGGTTTCGTCCAATTCTGGATCTCGCCTTCAGTGAGAAGCGAATTTTCCGAATTATCAGAAGCATTGAAAATCGTCATGCAGTTTCCAACAACCTAGCTTTATGAGAAAGGATTTTCATCGCTCATTCACTTAAAAACAAAATACAGAAATCGTCTATGTGTGAGTGCCGATCTTCGACTGAAGTTGATCAATATCGAGCCAGGTATCCAGGAACTCTGTAAGGACCGACAGGCTCAACAATCTCATTAAAAGTAAGTACTAACATAATTATATCATATTCTTTATTTGTTAGTAAACATTAAAATTTTATTCAGTAATAATCCACTTCTAATGGTTTACTTCCAATTTAATTAACTATGTTTCCATATGTATTCAAAACATGCTTTTAGATTTATTATGTTATAAAATGGCACAGTATGTTCCAAATATTGGTAATACCGCATAGGTTTAAAAAAAGAAGCCTACATGACATAGTGGTCCGTAGAAATTGTTCAGACTTTTACTGGTCCTTGGGCTTAAAAAGGTTGAGAAACACTGGTCTAGAAAATGTGTGAGCCTCGACGTCTCACAACCCTATGGGCCTCCACTGCCTGCTACGGGGATAGCTTTACTTAACCTCACCACCATCTGTCTAGAAAATGTGGGAGCCTCGACGTCTCACATTCCTATGGGTACAAGGATAGCTTTACTTAACCTCACCATCTGTAAGCCGAATGTCTTAGAGAATGTGGGAGCCTCGACGTCTCACAACCGTATGGGCCTCCACTGCCTGTTACAGGGAGAGCTTTACTTAACCTCACCGCCATCTGTGAGCCTATTGTCTAGAAAATCTGGGAGCCTCGACGTCTCACAACCCAATGGGCCTCCACGGCCTGTTACAGGGATAGCTTTACTTAACCTCACCGCCATCTGTGAGCCGATTGTCTAGAAAATGTGGGAGCCTCGACTTCTCACATTCCTATGGGCCTCCACGGCCTGTTACAGGGATAGCTTTACTTAACCTCACCGCCATCTGTGAGCCGAATGTCTGGAGAATGTGAGAGCCACGACGTCTTACAACCTTATGGGCCTCCACGGCCTGTTACAAGAATAGTTTTGTCGGATTAAGAACCGTTTACTTTTGTTAGCCAACTTTAAGTTTCCAATGTCCTTCTTAAATTTGTTGCCGCAGTGCGGTTTGTTTCGTAACATGAATGATTGCAATATAGTGTAAATTCTGCAAAGCGCCATCCAATAAAAGCACCATATCTACTGACTGGATGAGTAACATTGTTAAGTTTTTTTAATTAATAAAGACCTTACACTTAATTATGATCAGTCAAAACTTTAAATTGCTCATATACTTTAATTCTATCCACTTTTCTATGTTTGTATTAATTCTTGTGTAAACTAAATATTGTAAATACCGTGACATGACGAACAATTGTCAAGTAACTGCTCTGTAAACAAGCGATAGTGGAATAACCATTGCTGGGGAACAGTTCCGTGGACACCTATTCCCGGCAACAAGGAAACATGCAATAATGAAAGACGTTTTTATTGCGTGGTCCGTGCTGGGGACTATGTAACTGATATTTCAGTTGTCGAGTTATCTGAGAGTTACACTCTTGTCAAAGAGGGCGCCCCACATGGACAGGACAGTAACTTTCATTTAAAAAGTAACATCTGGTCATGAGCCCCAGCCGGGGTTCGACATTAAGACAGACAGACTGACTGACCGTCAGTCGCAATGTGACTTTGACTTTGAGAGTTACAATACTGAGAAGTGTGAAACCGAGGCCGGGGACAGTTCGGGAACTGAGAGGAAGGGAAATGTCCGTCGTTGAAACCCGCTACCAAGCAACGGCTAATGAAGACAGAAGACTTTATGTGTGCTGTAGTTTTTTGAAGTGTGTAACTCAGTGACACTATCATAGTTATTTGTAGTTACGAGTGTAAGTGTCCATTAAATTCGATTACTAATCCAAACCCCGTCTTTACTCAACACACAATCACGTGAAAATATATTGTGAAGATTATGGAATAAACATGTTTCCAAAAGGATTCTATGTACATTTAAAATGCTTGCTCACATATCACGTCCACTTTTCTAAGAGTTTTCCTTGACGAGCATGCGCAGTTGCGTTAGGGGCTACTTGTCCCGTATTTTTGGTTTCTGAATTAGGGGCACCCGACTATAAAGCAATCAATTCAATGTTATCCCAGTTTGAGCCCCTGCCACGCTAAGGGCTGCTCAGGTGTGCGAAGTGGTACTCACTGTTGAGTGTGGCGGCTTCATTGCTCAGAGCCACGTAGTGTTCGAACATCCCTCGACATTTCTCACCGGACATTTTCCTCCATTCCACCCATACGTGCTTCAGCTCGTCAGGGTCTCTGCTTGTCCTCAGGATCTCCACCAGTTCTGTTCAACAAAGCTGTCATGTCAGATGTTTGCGTACCCGATCAATATATACAAACGCTTCCTGTCTTTTGGCAGTGGTCGACACTGCAATACCGACTGAAACATAGGCACTTCTGAGTGCGCCTTCGCTAATGCCATCGTCTGGCAGTACTAGTAACTACTATTAATGGTTCGTACTTCTGCACATAGTTTTTTTTATCTGCTTGCTCCCACTTTGGGGCACGGGGCTGATTTCTCAGTTTCATGATCATTTTTACAGGCGGCAGGACTCCTTGGACGGGTGATCAGCTCGTCACAAGGCCTCTACCTAAACACAGGACAACACAAACACAGAATAACCTCATACACACACCAAACATCGATGCCTTGTGTGGGATTCGAACCCACGATCCCAGCTTCCGAGAGAGCGAAGACAGTACATGCCTTAGACCACTCGGGTACCGTGACCGGCGTCGTGTTATAGTAGGGCGCGTAAAGCTGACAACCTCACCGCCGTCTGTGAGCCGGCTGTCTAGAAAATGTGGGAGCCTCGACGTCTCACAGCCCTATAGGTCTCCACGGCCTGTTGCAGGGATAGCTTTACCTTTAATACAGATGAGCCCAAGAAATATATACACACCGTTTCTCCTCCACTTTCACTTCCTGCTGTTCAATAAGGTGGCTCTGGCATTCGATTGACTAGCACCATCTTTTGAGAGAATGTCACACTACATACAGCACATTACTTTGCTGTTCATCTTTGAAAGTGTCCTTAGATAACGTTTGTTGAAATTTGTATACATTTTTTGGACTCCTCTCTATATTATCGATCTTTGCTAGATAGACCCCTGTTGGTTAACACCGAACAACAACGAAACCCGTCCGACCAGCAAGGCCGGTCTGGACAAGATCGACAGTTCGCGTTTGGGTCCAAAATACTCTTGCTTACCAATATTCTGGTTGTATAAATATCGAGGAATTTCTTCAGCAGATGGCATGAAATAAATATTGGTGTATGAGAGTCTGCCTACATAACAGTTACTGAGAGATTACAGAATATTGCGTGAGACAGTACCTGGTTCCAAACTGAGGTCGCATTTGTTGGGGTTCTTGTAGTCACAGATCTTGGCCTTGCTGTATATGGAGGACATGTCAGAAACCAACTGCTCTAGCTGCAACAGAAGGACAGTTCATAATCTTCTGTTTTGATCACAACATTGGTACCGTCCCTTCGTTTAATTAATCTATCATGGCGTATAGACCCGTTGCTAAGCAGTGAATCTGTAAACATCGACCGTTGCTAGGTAACGTCCGAAACATACACGCATGCAACAATAGAAGTACGGCGTTTTCTATGCGGTCTGCACCGCGACCGTTGCCATGCAACGTCGCGGTAAACACTCCTCTACAACAATATAGGCTGTTTTCTATGTGGTCGGTGGAGACATAATGACTTCCAGATAGAACAGCTTTCAGTTTTTAGGTGACAGTGACAGAGTGAATGAACAAGAACTGGCAAGAGGACTTCATAGTGTTTTGAAGTGCAAGTTTCTGTGTTGAGATCCGTTGCCAGGAGACGAATAGTGAAGACGGAGAATCCCAGTGCGTGTGCAACGGTGGACTGGAAAGTGTGTACATCAGCGATAGCGCTGTATTAAGTGTGACAGAGAGACTGTGTAACCAAGGTGCTAATAAATCCAATCATCCGAACTAGAACCCGTCATTTTTTTGTCACGCGTACCACCCTACACGCGACACTGTTTATAATTTGTTTAACGACACTGACAGTAACTTAGTGTATGTTAGGAATCTCGTCTTTATGCAGTTCTGTCCGTCCTCCTCTGTCTGTTAACGGTTGTGATCTGTCAGTGTAAAGTAGTTTCAGATTGTTCGGTGCCTCACCTTCTCGTGCTTGTCGGCGTCCAGCGCCGCGTAACCCAACACGGAGTGCTTCTGGAACTGGCGGCGGAGATCAGGGTCCTTGTACGTGGTCCAGGGGTACTTGATCGTCTCCAGCCACTGCTGCTTGGAGAACTTAGCGGCCTCTGCAGAAACTGCAAGCTGTCAAAATAATTAAGCACATCACAAACCCTCGCTAATGCGGTTACAGATAATCCGGATCGAAGTACGAAAAAACTGTTCACTGTTGAGCACATACTTTAAAATGACACATGGGATTTAGGAGCAAGAGGACTTTCAGACTGTGTTGAGGGCAGCTGGAGAGACTGAAACCACGCAAGAAAATACAGGGTGTCCCAGGAGGAATGGACCAAACTTCGGGAGGGTGTTCCTTATGTTAAAGTATGCCGATATAACCAAAAACACCTATGTCCAAAGTTGAACGGTTACGGAGATAATGGCCCGAGAAAAGTGTGGTCTTCTAGCGGGTCTATGGACTATACCTATCAGCTGAGAGGCCTTATCTATGTTTGTCCTTGAGTGCCGTGATTCACCCTAGCCGTACTTATGTAGTTGGCTTTATCAGAACGCGCAGTCAACACGTTACGTCAGAGATTGCCATTCATGTGTCATGTATAGTGCTTGGAAACCCTAAGGACAATTATGACATGGCGAGCGAGTATTTTGTACTTCAATTTTATGGCTTCATGTCACTCACAAGTTAGTTTGATCTTACGTACATTATTAACGTTACAGAATCCACATATTCCTGCCAGTTTTAATATGTATTTTGTAATCAACAAGTGTGCAACGCCGGTCAAAGTTTGACACTTCTCTGGCCATTTTCTCCGTAACCGTACAACTTTGGACATAGGTGTTTTGGGTTATATCGGCATACTTTAACATAAGGAACACCCTCCCGAAGTTTGGTCCATTCCTCCTGGGACATTCTGTATACATTGGCTTGAGCTGGATGAAGGAGACCCTGTCAATGGAAGAAATTGCTGGAGTTATATATTTTTTTCATTTATGTGTTTTAATTAGCATTTCCTATATCATTAAATGTTTTCATTTATTTGTTTTCTACGGTTTATATTTTTCTTTTAGGGCTATCTTTTGCTTAATCTGGATTGAAGAGGGTTTACTCTAATTGTTTTCAGCCAGTTTCTTTCCGTCGCTTTTTTGTTGTTCAAATGCTGGAAAATGCCCATTCGCTGTTAGACCTCAATCTTTTCATTTGGTAATATCTTTTTTAACTTTGTTGGATTTGTGAAGTTCTCAATCATGTGACTGTGAAAAGTACTGTCTTCTGGGGCGTAACGCCGTGAAATCTGGTACAATTTGACAGACCTTTATTTGCTGCTTGATTTTTCCCCGGTTACTTCCTTCGTTCACTTTCCGATCGAGAAGTTATGGGCGTCGGTTAAATTACTTTTCACATTCACCGTATAATAACCTCAAATCCAACAAGAACGGATTTAACCCTCAAGTTTCTTTTAACGATAACTGATCCAGCTTCATTTGGCGACACAACGGGAAAAATTAATTGAGGCTTCAGAAAGTACTCAATGTCGTGTCTAGTGTCTCTTCAAGGCTGCGTCATCAGCAGACAGTGACGTGAGTCGTTTCGTTATCAGCAAGCAGTGAAGAGGATGGTTACGTCATCAACTGTGACGTGGATCGTAACGGCATCAACAGACACCATATTTTAGGTTCATCATACTAGGAAACCAAAACAGGTATAGCGGAGATGGCGTTCAACATGCAGACGTTTCCTTCCGCGAGGCCATCTATTTGGGGCGTTTCGCACACAGAATAGTAGTATATACATGACTGACCAGTAGTACATGTAACACATCCTCGAAATTATTGTACATTATAAGAAAAAGGTAAAGCTACCCCTGTAACAGGTCGTGGAGGCCCATAGGGTTGTGAGACGTCGAGGCTTCCACATTATCTAGATAACTGGCTCACAGATGACGGTGAGGTTGTCAGCCTTACGCGCCGGCCGGCAGCCTTTTACCCCTTAGGAAGAATCCTGGTACTCATTTCTGTTAGAGGCTAAGTCGATCCCAGGGCCATAGTGTGGCTGGAAGGATTAGGTAAATTAAAAAATCCGATGACTTAATCGGGAATCCAAACCGTGACCTTCCGCGTTGTAGCCTAACCAACTACGCTACTGCGTGTTAGATGCAGGACAGAACACCACATGTACTTCTAGGATATAAACAGGAAGGAAAACAAAACATGGGAAGAGCTAAAAATTTTGGGAGGATCAATTGCAACTATGGAATCGAAAGAGAACGAATAATCTAACCGTGAATGTATTGTTGGCTAATTGTGGCCCATGACACTCGGCTGGGAGCGTTGGAAGTGTCGCTTGGCCTTACCTTCTTCGCAAGATTCTCCTCTGTTATGTTGGAAGCGTAGGCCCACTCCGCTAGTGATGACTTCGTGGCCCATTTGCTGAACTCCTCGTCCAGGTAATCGAGATATTCTCTCGCTCTTGCCTCCTCGTCTGGAATCTGATCCATTTCTAGATCAGGATCGAATCCTGATACATAGAATGTTGAGGCGGTAGCCACAAACAGCAGCAGCACCAAGCAGCTCATCTTCCGAGCCTGTAACACACGTGTACTGTGTCAAACACCTACCCTTTAACACTTTAATAACTATACGTACCACTTGCTTTAGCAATGAAAATTTCTGCATTCTGCCCACAAAGTGTGTTTGTGTGTTCCGTATGGTTCTCACAATAAACAGCGACTGTTTCCCTAAACAGCATTAACCGGTTGGGCTTTGTAGCGGAGACGTAATGTGTTTCCTCTGAGGTACGGACTGAACTCTGTATTTTGCCCACAGAGTGTATTTGTGTGTCCCGTATGGTTCTCACAATAAACAGCGACTGTTTCCCTAAACAGCATTAACCGGTTGGGCTTTGTAGCGGAGACGTAATGTGTTTCCTGTGAGGTACGGACTGAACTCTGCATTGTGCCCACACAGTGTATTTATGTGTTCCGTATGAGTCTCACAATAAACAGCGACTGTTTCCCTAAACAGCATTAACCGGTTGGGCTTTGTAGCGGAGACGTAATGTGTTTCCTCTGAGGTACGGACTGAACTCTGCATTTTGCCCACAGAGTGTATTTGTGTGTCCCGTATGGTTCTCACAATAAACAGCGACTGTTTCCCTAAACAGCATTAACCGGTTGGGCTTTGTAGCGGAGACGTAATGTGTTTCCTGTGAGGTACGGACTGAACTCTGCATTGTGCCCACACAGTGTATTTATGTGTTCCGTATGAGTCTCACAATAAACAGCGACTGTTTCCCTAAACAGCATTAACCGGTTGGGCTTTGTAGCGGAGACGTAATGTGTTTCCTCTGAGGTACGGACTGAACTCTGCATTTTGCCCACAGAGTGTATTTGTGTGTTCCGTATGGCTCTCACAATAAACAGCGACTGTTTCCCTGATCAGCATTTAAAATTCGGAGATACAATGTGTTCTCTGTGAGATAGGGACTTAATTATTAGCCTGCATTCCTTATTAAATATTAATTAGACGAAAGTCCCAGTCCCAAGCTGCTACAGCGGGCTTCTCATGCAACCGTCCCGATTTAATTTACTCAAAATTGAACACTTTGGAGGTGCCCAAATTACGTTTCCAAATTATGCAACACCCAGCTCCCCACTAGAAAATGAAAACTCCGCGGCCGTTATGCACAGTGGTTCACAAACTTACCATATAACGTGAATCAACAAATTTGGTCACGAATACCCAGGCTAGTGAGCACCACTCAGGCTCTGGATAATTTCTAAGCAACAAAATTGACTCAAGAGACAACTGGCACGGAACTCCCTACGTCATTTCTCCCCCTCCACCTCTCTACCTTTCTTCATGCTTCGGACGTTTCAGTAAACCTAATTTATATATGAGGACTCTGTCGTCTGAAATGTGCCGCCGTAAGGTCTGGTAGATTGATATAGACATGTCATCGTACTTCTGCAGACGGAGCCTCGTCCCGAGGAACAGTAACCCTCATGAAGAGTACATACAATCTTCTTGGTTGTAACGCCGTGTAGTCCAGAGAGAAGCCGACGTTTCGGATTAGCTTGCCGCCTGCTACTGCATGGCTTACTCACTACTCACACAGTTAGAAAATGCGACATGCGTACAGATAACGGAGATCTGGCAACGGTGTGTGAAGGCCAGCAATTCTCTGTACACCCCGTCACATGTATTTTGCAACATGTCACTTCGTAAAGCATTCAGATTTCCAGCCATCACACCGTTTATTTCATGACAAAAATATGACAGTTATCAAGCTGATAACAATCCAGCTTCGAAGGTCCCGGGTGCAGATGCTGGCCTATTAATCAAATATCCACATCTCTCGTGGTATCTCTCAGCTTGAATACCAATTTCCTTATAATTTCCCAATGGCGCATAGGAAAAGAGCGTTAAAAAGCCATGACGATAAAGCATCTCCTTATTTCAAAGCATTATGTATAGGAAAGGTAGTATTATACTGCATATATTGGGGGAACGAAAATGTGTCAACTACAGTTAGTGATGCAACCGTTACGTCATCATAAAGTTACCAGATTCTATTTTGAACACACTTCACGCATTCGAACGCCGACGAGAAATTCAAACACACAGGATCTTTCCGTTCGTACGCTTGCCTAGGCGTGACGTGCTCAGGTAGAGTAGATGAGTTCCACACAAACATTGCGGATTGCATTACAAGTGTCTAGCCTGGTTCTCCTCAGTCCTTCCAGAGAATGGTGAAATAATACTTTAAAATAGACCACGGCCAATTCCATCCATGTCCTTTACAGTCCGTCGCTTCGCGTAGTCAGTCCTAGCTACTTCACGACTGGCGGCTTGCCGCCTTTCAGTTCGTCTTGGCGTCAAGTCCCTCGAGACCCACGACCAGTATTTTTTCAGCTGAATACTTGCGGTTATATTCCTTATGTAACATCATCTCTGATGAGAGGGCGGGTCTGTCGTTCACAATTGCTGCTGGCCCTCGCCAACGCAGTCATTCTAGGGTCCGAGTCCTGTGGGACTCATGACTATAATTTACTGTCTCAGTTTCGAGACTCCCCCAACCTGGAGGACCAGATCCCCGTATTTATATCCCTCAGGAACAAGGTGGCCCGGTGATACCCCCAGACACCGGATTCCCTTTTCGTCGCCTCCTACGACTCACAGGGCTACGGTGGAGGCATTCGAACATAACTCCACATGGATCAAGTCCAAGTCACATTGCGACTGACGTTCAGTCAGTCAGTAAGTCTTGGTGTCGAGCCCCGTCTCGGGCTCATGAACAGATATTTATTACTGTTGAACATTACGGTTTTGTTTTTTTGTGGGGCGTCCCCTCTGACGAGAGAACGGGTCTTTTTTTTTTACATGCTACTGGCCCCTGCCAACGCAGCCTTTCTCGGGTCCGAGTCCCTTGGGACTCGCGACTGTATTTTACTGTCTCAGATTTGAGACTTCCCTTTTCGTCGCCTCCTACGACTCGCGTCACATGGATCAACTACTTTCCTTTCAGTGCATATTGTTACGGAACGGACCACATGGAAAACACGGCGTACAATACTTAATCTATTGTTGAGTGTGTATTCGTTGCGGCGGAAACGTGTTTTCTGAGCCGTTGCATAGCAGCGGCCGTCTCTTTTGGCTCCATTATTCCGGGTTTCAGTCCTCATGTCACATTGCATTCAGAAGCTGTAGGCCAGACGCAGGCGGCAAGGTAGTTTCATAAGCCGGGTTTTAATTCTCCAAGAAGGAGGAAAAGAAAAGCCATTTTGTGTGTTATTTTGCGAAGATGTCGTCAGCTTAAATACATAGCGTCGAATGTTGGGAGGACTGAATAATGGTGAATTGTAAAGGATCTGGAAGGAAACTGAAGTGTCCTCATCGCGGCACTATACAGGTTTGTGTGGAGCGACTGAGGAAAACCATGAAAAAATTTCGGTCTGGCCAGTGTTTCGGCCGATATTCGAACCAAGCACCTTACCCGGCCGCGCCATAGCTCAAGCGCTTAGTCGCTGACTTCCCACCGCGGCGGCCCGGGTTCGATACCAGGTCTGGTCAAGTGGGATTTGTAGTGGACAAAGTGGCGCTGGCGCGGGTTTTCTCCGAGTACTTCGGTTTCCCCTGCCAATCTTCATTTCACCAAATTCTCCATTATCATAATCACCCGGGGCAGGCCAAGCAGTGGCCGCCGTGCCGAGTGAACCCAGCTGGACTCCACCCCCCACTAAGCGAAGTAAAAAAAAACACCTTCCCCGAATATTGGTCTCAGCTATCGCCATTACGAAAACCCGTTCGGTATGTAAGACATTGTAGCATCCAACCTTTGGTTTCCGGTGCTCTACACGGGCAACTCACAAATATAATTAAGATAGTTAGAAGTTACTGGAAAGGAGTATGATTCATACACCCTACGAAGAAGCTAAAATAAAAGCCACGTCAAAATCAAAGTCATGTTACGACCGACGGTCAGTCGGCTAGCCAGTCTTGGTGTCAAGCCCCCATCTGGGGACCAAGAACAAATTTTTCATACTGTCAGAGAGTTGCAGGTTTCTTGATGTAGTGCGCCCTTTCTGACGAAAACACGGGTCTGTCGTTTACAATTCCTGCTGGTCCTCGGCAGCACAGTCGTATTTCTATCTATCTATCTATCTATGGCTCTACACTCCTTTTATTAGACCATGGCCGATTTTTCAGTTTCTTAATCTTATACACAGTCGGTAGGACACCTTGGTCGGGGGATGAGCCCGTCGCAAGGCTGCGACCTATACACAGAACAACACAGACATCTATGCCTCGAGTAGGATTCGAACCCACGATCCCAGCGTTCAAGCGAGCGAAGACAGTTCGTACTGGGATCGGCGCAGCCATATTTACCGCGGTCAAAATCAGTGGTACATGTCATGTATATTTAAAATTGTACGTGCAACTCTTAGTATATACAACATGTATGTATGTACAACATACACAAGGCTTGCCTTAGCAGATGATGCCGTAACTTAGGTAGCTAATGTTACAACGGTTGTACGCTTGACCGTAGCCAAGCTTAAGCCTCAGACTCCTTACCTTTAGCGATATCGCGAACAGCATGATTCTGTATGACCTCTGCTTGCTTCCACTTCGCTTCACTTCCTAGCTGTGTTTCTGAAAGTTGTAACATCACATTGCCTAGTAACGTCTCTAACAATGTGATGCGTAGTAACGTTTATAACAATGTTGTCTTGTATAGTTTATAACATCATGTTGCCTAGCAACGTGTATCGCAATATTGTTGATACCACCGTGTAAACCCCAGACCTCACCCGTTTTCTTACTGCAGAAGGAAAATGTTTTATACCCAAACTCAGTGCACCAAAATTTTCAGTTTTGTGGGCCTTTGTATATACAACGAAGCAACACAATATATCTGTTTGTGTGTGTGTTACTTCATGTCCGGATGTGTAATTAAAAGTAAAGCTATCCCTGTAACAGGCCGTGGAGACGCATAGGGTTGTGAGACGTCGAGGCTCCCACATTTTCTAGACAGTCGGCTCATAGATAGCGGTAAGTTTGTCAACCTCACGCACCGGCCGGC